CTACGATTTTTGCAACTGATAAAATTAACATAAACGCAACTAAAGAGAGATATGTGCTGCGAATGAGAGAGTTAATGACGTCTTTTAACTGAAAAGCCGTAAATATTGTCTACACTTGGCAACTGCCCTAGTTTCCTAATCTGCAAAAAGGCTATTAGCGACTTAAGCGATACTAGCAGTAGGCAACATAAAAGTTTTGTTGCTGAGCTGTCTAGCCTGCCTGTACGCAGGCACCGATTTTGTAAACACACGGTGCCACCTCCATTCCTCTGCAAGTTGGATAATTCCAAGGCAGATACGGCTAGACAATTCTGAAGCGTAAATAACGTAGTATGGAGAAATAAAAGCAAAACATTCCCATTACGAGGCTATGTTAAATTGCGCAGTTTGTTTCATGAAGCCACTTTTGGGGTATTAGTCCCCTGACCAGTTGTGGACATGCGCGATGGCCAGTACAGTCCCCAAATCCAAATACACTTTCCATGCAGGAGAAAACTCCAGGTCCAGTAGTAGTTTCTAGAGGGACCGGTGGCGTTGCGATCAAGTATCTTTTCAGTTGCAGTAAAACGACACCACTGGCAAAGTTGGCTCGTAGGTATTATTCTTACGCTGCGGAAGATTAACTATGGGGATAGCTCCAGTTCAAGGTGACACAGAGAAGTGAAGGTGTGCCTGAAGACTGTGTAGGTGCCTGCAGCCCATGAAATACTTGCTTGGCAAATTTACGGGTGTTTTCTTAGTAGGTCCATGCATTTTTAAGACCGAGTTTATCCGTTTGTTGAGATTAATGTGCATGGCAATGTTCTAGCATTTTTTAAAGTAGCTAAAATATGCCGTACTAGAACAACTTGCAGTTGGTCTACCTGGTAACTTTTAAATAGCCTAGGGCAAACACGCTTAAGAGGCTAAATGCTGGCCTGGATGCTAAATGTGCTTTGTGAGTTGTTTAAATAAAAATATCGTTGCCCGTTCTAGTTTTGGCCTTCTTTCTGATAAAAGTTGCACTGCTATGAAACGTTTTCGACGCTTCTCATCACATTTACTTTTTTGTCACGTCACATATATGTGTCATGTGCAGTAGAATATGACGATAACTAAGGTTTAATCAAATCATGTTTTGCGTAAAGATTGTTTATGTTTTGATTAATAATTATGATAAAGTGATTATGTATTCTAGTTTTTGAGCAGAAATTGAGCTTACTTTGATCAGTTAACCTCATTCGGTGTGGTTATGGAATAGATTTTTTGACAAAGTAACAACTGCCAGCTTAAAAGTAGCCCTTGGATATTTTGGATAGGGATTTACAATAACGCACGTCCTGTTTGCTAGGTCAGTCTTTTATTTTGACTGCATTGCAATGAGTAGATAATGAAACATGCCCAAATAGGCCCTATCAAATGTTTTTTTGCATTCGAAAGCGTCGACTTCCATTCTGCGATGTCAGTCTTTTTAGTTTTAC